AAATCAAAAACAGAAAGATCCAGTCAACTCATAAGTATGCTTAAAGCACTCAGAACTTCTGAAACAATAAAAAAACACACTGAGACAGAAGAAATTGGATTATTATAACAACACACTTCAGAAGATGGAAAACACAATTGATCAGGGTCAGTTCTGGAGCATGTGGAACAGTCTAAACAATACAAAGCCACAAGAACTAGCTATACAAGATGGTCAGATTTGGAAAGATTATTTTGAGAAGCTCTATACACATCAAACTGACCCTGTGAATAATCCCAACCAATTAAAAGTTCTTGAAAAATTGAATGCTCTTGAATCATGCATGTGCAAAACTAGTTTCTGCAAAACGAACGTCACCAAACCAAACAGCACAAATAATGACTATTTCCGTATGATATCTGCGACAGGAGAAATGACAAATACACACAACACAAGCTAACAGGACGCTCCAGGAAACACGCTGGGAAAAACAGCGGAGGTGGAACAAAACACCACATGAGCCAAAATCAACAGTCAGACGCATGAAACTGAGACGCTGTTGTTTTCTGCACCGCATCAGTCACTCTCCATACACACACACACTTCATAATGTATGTACAACCTACAATACAGTTCATGTGCTTTTATGTGAAGATAGTTATAATACTTAAAAATAAAATAAACATAGAAAAAATGTTAAAGAAATATCAAAATAAAATAAAAAATTTAAAAAAAAACTACAAAAATACAGTAAATAAAAATATAATATTTAATAAAATACTCTAAAAATGCGCAAATACACAAACTTCACAAAGTATGTACAACCTACAATACAGTTCATTTGTTTTTATATGAAGATAGAAATATACAGACTTAATCTAACTGTAACCCTACAAAGAAAAATAAAAGAAAATATAAGCAAAGAATTAAAATACAACCAATAAAATAATACTATAAAAAATTTTATTTAATTTATTTTTTCTATTTTCTCTCTCTCTCTCTCTCTCTATATATATATATATAAAACTACCGTTTGTCACACTTTAATGTTTCAGATGATCAAATAAATTTAAATATTAGTCAAAGATAACACAAGTAAACACAACATGCAGTTTTTAAATGAAGGTTTTTATTATTAAGGGAAAACAAAATCCAAAACTACATGGCCCTGTGTGAAGAAGTGTTTGCCCCCCTGTTAAAACTGTGGTTTATCACACCTGAGTTCAATTTCTCTAGCCACACCCAGGCCTGATTACTGCCACACCTGTTCGCAATCAAGAA